GTATTCTTGAGTGAAAGTGAAGAGCGGCCTCCTAACTAATGCCCTCTCCCCAGAGCCTCCAGGGTGCAGCAGGCTTAGTCCTGTTTAATTCATAAATGGCCATCCTCTTCAGTTTGCCTATTACCAGGGCAAAGTGGTTTTCACGAGCTTTTCAGAAATGGGTCCAAATCTCCAAAGAGAATTTTCAGTTCCTGGCTAGGCCGGGTGACTCCAGCCTGAGACAGCTGCCCCAGCCACTGAAGTCCCAGGAAGGAGACAGATTGGAAGTGACTGAATTAGTCCAAGGCTTAGAAAGCAATCCATTCCTCATCCTGAAAGTTGAGACAAGAAGAGCTGAGAGAGGCAAAGGCATTTTTATCACTCCCCCTGGAACCCCACTGGGCCTGGGAGCTCCAGTCTGCCCCTGGAGAAATTGCAGATGGAAGAAAGCCCGTGATCCAACCTACTCCCAGATTCCGGGCAGAGCAGGTGGCTGGTACTGCTCTGGGGCTCCGTCTGCCTGTCTTCAGCCTTTCTGGAAAAGGAGACCCCATTCCCAGACTGTCAGAGAAAGGGCACCTCGTTCAGCATTCTGCATCCCACACGGACTTGAGCTCCTAGTGCACTGAGTGCTTGCCGGGTACTGAGGAGACAGAGATGTGAGGGTAGTCTAATAAATGTCCCCCATTGTCACCTTCTCAATTGAGGAGCATCTCTCCTTCAGCAGAGTTGAGTAGAACTCTCTTCAGGAGGCTCCCTCAGAGAGGGACAGGGCTGTGGCCAGGGTCTCAGAGGCTAACGGAGTGAGAACTTAAATCTACAGCCCTTGGCTCAGGACATCTGCCTTTTCAGCTCAAGTATTAAAATGTCTTTGCCCAGAGAAATAGCCTCCATCCCCTGACCACATGGCATGCTCCTCCCTGCCAGGATCTGGGGTATAGTACATCTGGGATCAGGGGAAGGGCCTGGGGAAGAGAGCAGAGTGGAAGTCAGAGTGGGTACTGGGAGAGGAAGCAGCCCCACCTTGCTTCCTGGGTGGCCACCCTGAGTTCACAAGCTGCCCCCTCCTCACCTATGTGGGAGGTATTTCCCAAAAGGGAACAGAACCCATGCTCTGGGGTCAGACTTTTTGAATCCTGACTCTACCACTGTCTGTGTGACCTGGGACAAGTCACTTAACCTCCTTATACCTCAATTCCCTCATCTGTAAAATGGGAATACATCACAGCCTTCGAACCAGGTGGTCTGGGTTCAAGGTCTGGCTTCATCTCTCACTTCTTAGCTAGGTGATCTTGGGCACATGATCTAATCTGTGTCTTGGTGTTCCAACAAGTAAATTAATGAGAGTCGTAGTACCAGAGTACTGATCTTTACTGAGTTTCCTTGAGGATTAAATGAGTTAATACATCCAATTACTCAGAACAGTGCCAAGAACACAGTAGGGTAGGTGAGACGTTAGCTATAAATCATTGTTATAACGCGGTGTTGTGTCCAACGCCAGCATAGAGCAAGCGTTTATGACTGAATTGCTGTTACTGAGAGAGCTGTTGCTTAACTTCCCTCCTGCCTCCTTGAAAACCGCCCCTCTTCAACTGTACCTCAAACTCTGCTCTTCCAGGAAGGCGCTGTCGCCAGTGTTCAGCTCCAGCTTCAGGGTGCAAAGAGGAGCAAGCCCAGCCAGTTCTTTGGGCTGATGGGGAAGCAGATAGAAGGTGAGTGACAAAGGTGGCGAGTGCCCGGCAAGGAGTGGTTGAGAGGGTTCAGCAATGTCTAGCCTGAGGTTGAAGCCCAAGACCTGGTACCCGCCACTCCAGTCCACTAGGAGTCGCTCATGAGACAGGATGGGGTAGACAGTCCACATAAATGATCATCCAACCAGGACACTTTGGAGAGTGTTCATTACAACAGGTAACAGGTGTAAACGGGGCTGGCCCGGCATTTGGGGATGCAGCGACCCTAAGGATGGGGGCAAATGCTATGTAACCTGGCTGGTACCCTCATTTCCACACTCAGGATGACTCGGGAGGAGTGGCCATGAAGCTAAAGAGCAATCTAGGTGTAAGCAAAGCCACAAACCAAGCTTCCTACTGTTTGACTAACACAGACCTATTAAAGTGAGCCTGTGTTCCCTATGAGCACCTTCAACTCAGGAGTCCTGGCCTAGGGAGACAAGAAGAGTCTGGACACCTCAAAAATATTGTAAAAAAAAAAAAAAAAAAAAAAAAAATTTAATGGTTTTTGCCATAGGGTGTGTGCAGAGACAGTGAAGGGGAAAGTGAGAAATCACACTCCAGGGGGGATGGCCACACCACAATACCTTCCCCTCCATTCTCCTCTCAGGATTTTGGGCACGCATGCACACACAGACATGCACCTGGCTTGATTTTCGAACCTCCAGGTCTGGGACTCAAATTGTGGTTGGCTATACAGGAGTCCAGCATCTTAACCACCATGCCCAACCCGCTGGTCCCAACATTGTTGTTTTGTTTTGTTTTGTTTTTTGAGAGAGATTTTTGCTATAGGGTATGTGCACTCACCAGAGAGACAGAGACAGAAAGGGAGAAATCAGCCCCTGGGATGCTGTAATCCCTTCTCCTCCATTCTCCTCTCCCTTCTCCTCCCTTCTCCTCTCAAGATTTTGGGAATGCATGCACATGCACCCAGTGTGTTTCAAGTTGCCAGGTCTAGAACTTGAACAGTAGCTGGCCACATGTGAGTCCAGCCTCTTTAACAAGTATGCTACCTGTTGCCCCAACATTGTATATATTTTTAAGTGGTAATGCTCAATGTTGGTGAAGGTGTGAAGAAATTACACTTTTATACACTATTTGGAGGCCACATTGGCAATATTCAGTCAATGAAGGGCACGTGCCTCTTGACCCGTAGTCTCACTTCCGGTCATCTATCAGATAGCTATGCTATTGCTACATGGGCCCTAGGTGTTTGTATCAGATGTTCATGGCCAACTTGTTTGTAACAGCAAGAATTTGGAAATAGCATAAAGACCATCAATAGGGCAATGGTCTAATACATCAAGCACATTCATAGCCTTGGCTTCTATTAAAATGCATGTGGCAGTTGTGTGGGAAGATCTCCAAGATACAGGGTTAAATGGAAAAAGCAAGAATAGGACAATATGCATGATAGGAGCCTATTTGTTTTTTGTTTTGTTTTGCTTTTAAAAACTATTTCCTGGGCCAGGTGGTGGTGTGGTGGTTAAGGTGGCTGGATACTGCATAGCTATGTGGTTTGAGTCCTGGACCCAGTAGCTTGAAAAACATGCTGGGTACCCATGTGTGCATGCCTAAAAATGGCGGAGAAGGGATTTTTGTGTGACTACACCCTTTGGGGAGGCTTGTCCACTTTCATTTTCACTCTTTTCCCCCCTGGAAAGAACACATGCCCTCTGGCAAATTTAGGAAAAAATAAATAAATTAAATTAAAAACATAAATCACCAAATCATTCAAAGAAAAACTATCTATTTACACCACATACAGACATATATATGTAAATGCATAGGGGAAGTTCTAGAAGGATAAATACGAAGCCGTAAACAGCAGGTACATTCAGGACAGAAGTGGAGATGAGTGGGAGAGGGTGAAGAATTTCAATGTTACTCTAAAAAAAAAAACCTCTACATCGCTTTTTTTTTTTTTTAATGGGCATATATTCAAGGATTGCTTTTGGTAATTTAAAAAATGCATACAAAAACAGAGAAAACCAACTTGTGACCAAACCTATTTGGTTTTAGTTTCCTCCTCTACAAAGTGAGTTTTGGATCAGACCATTTGAAAGTTCTCTTCTAAACCCACAATTCAGAAGGAACAGGGGATAAATATATAATAGAGATTTCATGTGCACACTTGCAAGTGATTAAATCTCCACAGTATCTTATCACAGCGGGGAAATGAAGGCTCAGATAGGTTAAGCACGTTTTCCAAGGATGCCCAGCTGATGCCAGGAGCCAATGACCCCAAAGTCTGCACTTCCCACTATTCCACACTGCCTCCTCCTAGGTTCACTCCTGTGCCGCATGGTGGGTCGGGGGTTGGCGAGGGTGGGATGATTTCAGCTCCACTGAAGACCCACCAGGGCACCAAACCCCAAAGAACCACGAGCCTTTCCCACTGCAGCAAACCCCTAGGAACCCATGTAGTCCTCATTCTTCTTTCTCCTTTCCCCAGGAATACCTCCGATCCAGCCAGGAAGAACAGGTAAGTGTGCCCAGACCTTCCTCCTGGCATGCTCCCTTGGGGCACCAAGTTGTCCTGGCCGTTAACAAGTCAGGGAGGTGTGGGGAGGTGCTCTGGTGAGGGTACACTAGGCTGACACTGCTGTGGGGAGGGTGGGGACAGCATGGCTTGGCCACACACTGGGCTTTCTGGTTGTTTCCTCAGTGGAGTGCTCTAAGAGCCTAGGGAGTGGTTACAGGGACAGGAGGAGACAGGGATGAATCTAGTTCTGCCAAAGTTTCAAAATTGCCTTGGGTTTAAAGCCTAGAATTGGAAACATGAATTAACCACCAAAGATAAGAGTGCTCAAAGCTTCAATTCCCCATGCCCAGAAGGATCTTAAAAGTGTAAATCTAAGCCACCATGAAAACCCTTCAGTAATAAAGGGGAAAAAATCCAAAGAAAGCCAACCAGCCACCCCGTGCTCACCATCTTCAGTGTTCTCAGCACCATATACAATCCCCTAATGCGGCGGCCACCTTTGGGGCTGCCCTCACTGTCCCCATCTGGAACGGCTCTCCTTCCAGCCGTCTACCCTACTGTGGCAGAGCTTGTCTTCAGTCTGGGCGCGATGCTCACCTCGGCGCACTGCGCGGTACTGTCCCACACCAAGACCTCCCAACTGTCAGGCACCAGGTCTGCCACTGTCCCGACAGCCAGCAGTTCCATCTCTAAGAACTGCCCACGAGGTGTTTGAGGAAGAAAGCAGGAGAGAGAACGGAGGAGGAAGGAATCAGTCATTCAGTCAGTGAACAAATGAACCAATCCATGGTCTCTTTTACTGCCATTTGCAAGGCCTGAACTCCGACTGCCTGGGGTTCCCAAGCCTACCTTCCTCAGCTGTCTCACTATTCTCTCCCCATCGCCAGGGTATCAGCAGGGACAACCAGCGCAGAGCTTCCTGGGCAGCAAAGGACCATCCATAGAAGGTGAGAGCCTGTCTTGGCTGTAAGGGCATTGTGGAAAAGTAGCCACTGTGCAGTCAGTCTCCAGGGTGGGGTGAGGCAGAGGGACAGACAGAACAGGCTCCCTGCAGGCCACCAGGTGGAGTCCCATAGCAGAGGGCACTCGAGGTACTGGGGGTGGGGGGTGACCTCTTGGAGGGCCCAGAACTAGCTGTGGCCCTGAAGCTGCATGTTCTCCAACCCCAGCACTCCCAGGCACACTACACAGAAAATGTGTAGCTTCCCAGACCCTGAAACTCACTTATTCCCTCACTTTAAATTTCTTATCATTGATGGAGACCCATACCTGCAGTCTTAAGGGATTTTTTGGCTTCAATAGTTCAGTAAGTTTAATTTATTTAACTTTATGTATTATTATTATTATTTTCACATGAGTTTTGCCAGAGAAAGACAGAGAGAGAGAGAAGCTGCCATGTCCGAGACTGGAACCGTGGTAGGCCATGTGGGAATTCCAGCACCTTAACCACCACACCACTTGCTGGCCCTCAATAGTTCAATAAGTAAGTGAGACCCTGGGAGGGGAAATACCTAAACAGCTACTAGTTAACACCTCTGGCAGGGACCACATCCCCAAATGGGGTTCCAAGGAGCCAGACATGAAAATAATGAACCAGGTTGGGAGAAAGATCACAGCCCAGGTGAGTAGGCCCACGAGGAAGGGCAGCAGGGACCTTGCAGGGCACTGCGCCCCAGCCTGCGTCCCCCCGCAACCCCTTCTCAGCTGCTCATTTCAACATCAGCTCTGGGGAGTAGATGGGAAAGCCCTCTTTTGTCCCCTGAGGTTTTTTTCCCAAAGTTTGAGTCATTCCACTCAAAGGACAATGGAAATCACATGGTCCGATTAGGAAGACACCCCTCCATGCAGGATGTAAGCAGGAAGCTTGGAAGCCGTTTTCCAGAGATGGAAAGCAACTGGCCCAGTGTCACACAGTGAGCTAACAGAGCCAGGACTAAAAGCCATGTCTCCTGTTTCCTAGTGCATGGCATGTCGCCTGTCCCCAGGAGGGCCTCTGGGACTTTTAAAAGCCCTGCCTTTCCTTTAGGGAGGATAACTGCAAATGGCTTCGTCCAGCCTTGTCCAGTTTACGACTGACTGATGGAAGATCCAGCACTTGAACCTGTCATTCCATTACCCTGAATAGCTACAGACAGAAGCATGAGTTAGGGATATGGGAGGCCTTGAGTTGAGGACAAAGGAAGACCTCCACAGGTGGAGGAGGCAGGCAAGACTCCCCTAACCACCATCCCACCATCCATGTACAGAACTCTCCCCAGGCAGAGAAGAAGAGGACCGAGGTGCAGAGTGAGCGCCCCACCGCAAGCTTCCCAGAAAACGCAGCGCTCTGCTCCCTACCCGGATGGCAGAGCTGCCCAGCCGCAGGCCACTCTTCTCCAGGTCTCTCCTGGTCTCAGCCCTGGCCTTTCACACCAGGTCCGCACTGAACACGCTGGGTTTCTTCCAGGCCTTGTGGTTCACACAACGAACTGTGTATAAATGCTGTCATCACCCTCGAGAGCTGGTGTGGCTCTGGCCTCCCTCACACTCAGAGGTATCATCTCGCGGCACGGCAGGGGTTCAATAAATGAATGACCAGTGAATGGCTTATTCTCTGGTGCAGGGCTGAGGGCAGGTACCGCGTGGGCTCTGCACCCTGCCCAGAGGCCCCACCTGTGTGTCAGCAAGAGGCCTTTTATAGAATGTGAAGAAAAATACTAAACAGCACCGGTCCCACCCTTGGGTGGGAAAACGGGCTTGGGACACAAGGACAATAGATTAAAAAAAGGAAAAAGACGTTGCTTGCTAGGGTGTGGGGCGTGGGGCATTTTGGAGTGGAAAGGATTTGAAGGCAAGGGTCTTTTTTCCCTTTAGGCATGCTTCTAAAAGAAGACGCCCTCTCCCTACTCCGTCATGCTCTCAAGGGTTCAGACCTGTTTTAAAATCTCCTGACTTGGGAGAACTGGGTCCGAAGTTATTCACCAGTTCTCTTCTGTAAGGTGGCTTTGTGTTAGGGACAATTAGTTGGTCACACTCACTCCTGAGCACTGGGAAAACTCCAGTGGAAGGAATCAGCTCCCAACCCCAGAGAACCCTGTCTCATGACTGTCCCTGCCCTGGTAGTTGACAGATGGAATCCTGGACCCCAGGATGCTTAAAAAGAGGCGCATCAGCCAGCACTTCTAACAGAAGAAATTGGATGATGACCTTCTCGTACTGGCCACAGTTCAACAGCAAAATAGGATAATCTGGACCTTGCTGAGGCCTTCATGGCCCTGTGCTCATCTCTCAGTCAGCACTCTGGGACTCCACGTACCAAATGCTCTCCTCCCTCGGGGGCCTGCACCTAGGGTATTTCCTGCCTGGACACTGCCCCCATCCCTGAACCCTCCTCACTGGCTAGTCATGTTTCAGATCCCAGGATGAAGCCGTTTTTCTGGTAAGACTTCCTGGTTCCCAGGCTCAGTGAATTCCCTCATGTTATGCTATCAGACCCTGTTCTTTCCCTCTGTGGAACTGATCACAGTTAGAAGTGAAACGTATTTAACACGTCTCCTCTGGAGATTGTTAGTTTCTTCCCTTTTGTGCACTGCTGAATATCCAGTTCCCAGAGCCCAATGGCACTGTTTGTTGAATGAATGAATGTATGTCAGGTATTCTATAAGACAATTTGCCTTCACACTTTTTTTTTTTTTTTTTAATTTGCTAGAAGACATGTGTATTAGCTGGAGAAAGCACACCCCTCCTCCCCAACCTCCTCTCCCAGTAGGGGATGGCCATGCCATAATCCTTTCTCCTTCACTTCTCCTATTGGGATTTTGGGCACACAGGCACATATGCCCAGCATGGTTTTCAAACCACCAGGTCTGGAACTCAAACTGAACAGTCGGGCATGTGGAATCCAGCAGCCCCAATCTCTACGCCACCAGCTGGCCAGACTTCACAAGATGAGGGTCAACAACTAATTACACAGGAAGTGGCAGTAGGGATTTGCACCAAAGTGGCTTGACTCCGTGCACACTCACCCTCCCACACTTGCTTGGTCTATGACATAAAGTACAAACAAGCCTCAGAGGAATTGGGAGGACGTCACAGGACTTCCTTCCAGCCAATTGGAGTAGGAAAGAAATCTTCCCAGTCTGACCTCCAGCATACCAGTCCAAGAGGCTCCTTCCAGATCACATCATCTTAGGGTATGCTATAGTCTGTGACTTCCCCTTAGGGAGCCCCTTCAACTCACTGAAGGTTTTGAGAAGCCCTAACATCAAGAAACCCCAGTATTTAATTCAATGCTTTCCATTCTGACCACAGCACCTTTTTTTGCCCATACTTTTGTATTTAATGAGACACACTTCAGGGAATGTTGAAGTGAGCTTTCCCAGTGAATGTGGGGAGAATGGAGTCTAATCCAGTTGCGTGTTGAGGCTATGTGGAAGAGAATGATGAAAGTTAAGTAGGCTGAGTCAGCTTATGGAAAGACTTGAAAGCCAAGATAAACATGAATTTAGTCCGATGAGCAATGGACAGCCACAGGATTGTGGAGCAGGGATGTGATGAGCCATGTCAATAGGAGAAAGAAAGTCTTCACTTTTTTGATCCATTTAAGGAGGCAACTAAGTATGCTAAGGCCAGGCAGGGACTCCGAAGCAATCAGCCAGCTACTATGCTGAAATGACCCAAGAGCTGACTCTGAGGGTGCCATTTGGATAGAATACATGCCCTGAAATTGCTTAAGTTGGTGCTGCAGAGGAAGCACCAATCAATCAGTCAATGGAACCTACACAAGGTCAAACTGAATTCCAGCTCTTTTTCCTGCTTAGATAATGCAACAAGGTGCCATCATGGAACCAGAGCTCAATAAATGGGTAGTTTTACTTATCCATTGCTGTCTATCAAATCATCCCAAAACACAGGGCTTGAAACATTACGTCACAAGTCTCAGGGTTGGCAGAACTCACCGGATGATTCTTTAGCATCTAGTGGTACTGGCTGGGGTCACACACAAGGCTGCACTCAGCTGGGAATGTTGCTGGGGTGGAAACTTTCAAGACACACAAGCCTGGGTGTGGGGTGTTGGCAGATGGAAGCACCTGTTTTGCTATACATGACCTCCCATCACTTGCTACTCATGTGTAGCAAGCTTCTGGAAACATGCCAGCTCATCCCCAAGAACAAGAGCAGAACTACCAAAGGACATCTTCTGTAATGTTGTTACCCAAAACAAGGAACAAGGTCACCCACACTGAGGAATAACAGGGCTTATTGGGTGGAGTGTATGTAGAGATAGGAGCAACTGTGGTGGTCATCTTTGTGTTTCTGATAACTTTGGAATAAAGTAAGGTCAACTGTTTCCAGAAACAAATACCCAATTAAGAACAAAGACTGGTTTCTTGAGCAAACATGATTTGTCAAGGATAAAGGTGTTTATCTCACATGGAACACTGGGGAAAAGCCATGGACCCATAGTTGTGCAACAACAGGTTATTTTATCACTTTTGGGCGCAAGTAAACAAACCCCCACACCCCAAAATGGTAGCAGCATGACCTGTGTCTGAAGGCATTGCACAAGAGGGAAGAGATTAAGTGATGTTTTGGCACCAGGGACAATTTTCAGCACTGAACGATCCTTTTTTGCCTTCTTAGTGACATTCATTGGCATTTTGTTGAAGTACCACAAAGGAAGTAGGCAATTATATTGTTCCCATCAGCAGGAAACAGTCTAGAAGGGACGGTTATATGAGCTGGTGGCAGAACTTGCCAGGGTAATATCAACTGAGGTCCAATTCTGCAATTGCATGCCAATGGAGAACAAAGCTCATTCCTAGGATTTCCGGCACACATCAACTCTTATTTGGCAAGGGAGTTTTGATCTTATTCTTATGACATGTGAGACCCTGTACATCTTGTACTTCCATGCAGCTGTGAGGCCCATGGTGGAAAACTCATCTTGGGAGCTATAGTGAGCCACACCATGCCACTTCACCTTACTTGACAGGATTTGAGCCTTGGCACACTGAAAACCACTGAGGCCTGGGGGCAAGGCAGAATACCAGATTCCTGTCTTCTTTTTTAATTAAAGAATTTTAAATTTATCTCTATTTGTTTTAATTTGACCAGAGAGGGACAGAGTGAGAGAGGTAAAGTGAGAAAGCAGGCCGCCAGGTCCAGGACTTGAACCGTGGTCAGCCATGTGGAAGTCCAATGCTGTGAGGTGCCCATAGAGCTCTTAATCACCATGCCACCTGCCGGCCCCAATTCCTGTCTTCTTACTGGGGTCTTTCTCACACCAAGGTTTCTTTACCCCATGCCCAGGAATGGACTTCAAAGGTCCAATTTCCTTAACTGGAGACAAACATGTGTGCACATTTGCATATATGCATTTTAAAAAAGCTAATGTTTTGATCAGATTCCCAAAAGGCCAGAATAGGGAGTCAAGATGGCGGCTGAGAGCTCTGCTGGCACCTCACAGAAGCACTTTGATGTTGAGTCTTTGAACTCAGCTACAACAGCTCTTGCCTGCTCCAGCATGCCAGGCTAGCCAGATTTTGGATTTGCCAGACTCCACAATTATGTGAGCCAATGCTTGACAGTAACTCTTTCTCCCTATATAGACTCAATTTGTGTTTCCTCTTAAGTTGTTAGTAGGGGTACATGCTGTGATTCCACTTTGCTCCTTTGGAAGATCCAACAGAAAAGCCAGATCTCAATTCCTGAGTTAGAGCCAGCCTGAACTTTGTTCCCATTCTGGGGATGCTGAATCAAGACTCTAAGAGGTCAGTTTCTGGAAGATATGCATCTCAGTGTAACGAGGCTGCTAGGGTATCCCAGAAAACTAATGTGTTGGAAATATAATCTCTAATGCAACACTGCTGAGTGGTGGAAACTACTGGGGACAGTTAGATCTTGAGGACTCTACTTTCATGAGTGGATAAATGTTATTAAAAGTGCTTGGAGGAATGGGTTCATCACCTTCTGCCACAATAGCCCATTTTTCCTGCCTGAAGACTGCAGCAACAAGGCATGATCATGGAGCCAGAGATCAAATGTTCCCAGCCTCCAAAACTCCAAGAAATAATTTCCTTTTTTTAAAGAATTATTGAATTTTATTTATTCATTCATTTATTTTTAATTTGACAGAGAGACACACAGCGAGAAAAAGTGAGAAAGCAAACCATTAGGTCCGGGACTCAAACCACGGTCAACCATGGGAGAATGTCCAGTACCTTAACCACCGAACCACCTGCTGTTCCTGGACTAATTCTTTATAAATTACCCAGTCTGTAGTATTCTGTTACTGCAGCACAGAACTAAGACAAGACCCAACGGCTAGACCCAATGTTGGTATACTCTTATGGGACAGGCTTAACACTGAGTACAATGAACATCTTTGAGGAGAGGTGATTTTAAAAAACTCACTTCGATATCATTTGACTTACCAAACATGGCAACTATGTGTAGGACAGTCCTTAACAGTTCCTGGTTCAAAAAAGCAGATCTCCATCTGTTTCATGCTCTGGTAGGAATGTGTACTGTGGACAAGCCATGGCCTATTTTTGCATACTGATTTCAGATGTTACATAGCCCAACTTTAATATGAACCATGTAGCTGGAAATGGACTTTATTCAAGGCCATTCCTAACCTCTGCTATGGAACCTGGCCAGAACTACAGGAATGAATCAAAGATGAGGACAAATCGAAAGCATCATCTTGCCAGATGAAGACGACATATACCATGCTGTAAAAATTACTCAATGTGAACCACTATTCCCATTCTCCTTCAGCAACGAGCAGACAGCACAGAGCCATCAGTTGAGCAGACTTCATGGTAACACTATCAGAAGTGAGACTTGAAATCAGAAAAGCAAAGCTTTCGTTCTGTTGCTGAAACCCAGCAAAAAGGCCTTTATGAGCCTCAAATGCCTCATCTGTAAATAGGCTGTAACATGGGACCAGCAGACGGTGTAATGGTTTCACTACGGGATCCACATAGTGGATCACAGTTCAAGTCCCAGACGCAGCAGCTTAAAACATGTGCGTGAGTGCCCAAAATCCTGAGATTGATAGTAGTACGGCCATTCCCCCCGGGGAGTTATTTCTTGCTTTCTGTCTCTGGTGAGCACACACACCTTTTATAAAAAACTCTCCTCCCAAAATAAAGACCATAAAACCTACCTCATTGTTGGGGTGAGGACGGAAAGAAACCACACAAGTAACGTAATGGTGCTTACCAAAGTTTATGCTTGAAATAGAAGCTATACCAGAACAAGGCCCCTTGTTTTGCTTCCTGGCCCCAATCTGCTATCTCTAAGATCAACTAAAATTGATTCTTTTGTCTGTTAAGTATTTACCAGTTTTACTATTATCGTTACAATGAAAGCCACTAGTAATATGGTAGCCTAGGGACCAGCAGTTGGCATAATGGCTGTCACTGGACTACCATGTAGTCCACCATAGTGTGAGTCCCGGACCCGGTGGCTTAAACTCACACCAGGCATGTGTGCGACATGCCCAAGATCCTGAGAGAAAAATGGAAAAGGGATTGTGGCGTGGCCATCCCCCCCCGGGGGGTAATTTCTCACTTTCTGTCTCTCTGTATTTCTGGTGAGCGCACACACCCTATAGCAAAAACCTCTCCAAAAAAAAGGGTGGCCTGTAACAAGGAAATCTAATAGAGAGAGGATAAATAATCAATCATTAAGCAATCAAAAAAGTTGAAGCAGCAAACCATAGTGTGTGAGGTATGGATTCTCAGGTTGGGCAGCCCAGGAGATGGCTGGCTTTATCCATTGCTCTGTGTATCAACTGGGCATGGAGTCTGCTTCTACAAAACAAGTGTAACGTCTACCACAAAAACCCAAGTGTACAGGAAGCAGCCAGCACAGGCTAGGGAGGGCTCTCTTCCTCCATAGAGGATAGGTGCTTCCACTGACCGAGTTTATTCCTGGAGCTAGATCCAGGAATAACTCCAGACTTTTGCTTTTCTAATGAAGGAACAGAAGCAGGGGAGCTTCTCTTATACAGGTAAAAAGGAGCCCAAGTAGACGGTCTCAAAGTTGCCAAGGGAAGTGAACTCTACATTCCTGTACCTATAAGGGGTTTAAAAGCAGAGACATTTTCCTAACATTGTTAGGCAAGGAAAGAGGGGAAGCTTGGGGTCAGTTCTGTGCACAGAACTTTGTCTTTACCTTTCAGCAGTCCATTCCCATGGTCCAAATGGCCTACTTCAATTTTTTCTAAATGTGAAGAGGAGGAGCAAAATTTCTCTCTGAAGTAAACATATATAACAGGGAGATCTGAGTACATATTCTAAGAAAAAATAATGAGAAAGGTCTTTATATAATCTTAAGCTTCCCTCCTACTCCCTATATGCAACAAGTGACAAGACATCCTAGCCTTAGAGAACTCTGGGAAAAAGAAAAATTGTGTGTGTGGTAGGCCCACCAGGGTAGGTTTCTCACCACTACTGGCCAGTGAGCAACACCACAGCAGTATCATTCCCACCCTTCTCCTTACTAGCAGAGATGCCAAGTGCCCAGCCTCCTTCTTCCTGCCCTGGGTAAATGCAATAGGAACATACAGCTCCATTCAGAAACATAATCATCTCAACCTGGGAGGGCCACTGATTCGAGGCTTACTACTGGTGAAGCAGTAGACGGGATACCACTGTTCCCACTTCCCACACTACTGACTGTACTCTCACCTACCCTAACTTCCTGCTGGTTCCTCTGCCTCTACCGTCAGAGGGAAACCATATCTGAATGAAAGAATGGGTAATAGTGACTAGTCACTGCTATGCACATCTATTAGCTGCAAAGAGAACAAGACTGAATTTGTCCCACCAGCTAGTCAAGGTCAGAGTAAGCTCACCCTTCACAGCCTGCAACACAGGGGCGGAGGAGACCTACGTAGCCACAAACCCATTCCAACAGCTTACTAGGTAGCCAGAAAAAACAGGTCTCCAGTGCAGGTACTATTAGGAGCAGGCCGGCCACACCATTTTCATACAGAAATGAGAGCCCCTGGATGCAACAGATTTGAGCAGAGAACATGCTTTATTAAGGAGTAGATATAGAAGAGCACATTCTACCACATGTGGGGAAGGGTTTAGCTTCTGTAAAAGGCCTTTACCCCTTAAGAAAACCCCCAGTGAAGTTGCTTTTGGATAAATTTTAACAGTGACACTGAAACTGGCGGGGAGCTGCCACTGAACATGCTTAAAATTAGCTCCCCCCAACCCACAGTGAGTATAAGTAGTGTACAGAGATGACAAGAGAAAGGCACAAATGACCAGAGTCGGGACTGTGGTGAGGCTCCACATGAAGACAGCAGTGTTGTAGGAGACCAAGTTGGGAAGGGTGACATGTCATACATCAAAAGCTGCCCCAAGATAGCAGGTTATAATGGGCTACAGAGAAATTAGAGGGAACATCTCTTCCTTCATTTGAACACCAAAAATAGACCAGAGAACAGAAGGATGGTGGCAAATCCCAAGAAGGAAATGGAGGAGGAGTTCTCAGGGGGCAGAAGCACTTCAGTCCTAGAGGGAGGGTGAGGCACTGTGGACAAGAGAAGCAAACCTCGGCAGGGGTGGCCATTCTGCCTGCTGAGTCATGGCCTGAGACATACGGAAGTCATTTTCAACTTCTCTCAGGACACTCGGACAAAATCAGTGCAACTTATGTGAAGTCGGGTGCAACAGGTCAGACTGGTACAGGTGGAAAGGTTCTGCAGTGTAATAAACCGGGTAACATGCAGTATGAAAGGGAGAACGGGAAATGATTTTGGCACCTGCAAACCTAATGGGGGGCAGGGAGTTAAGAGAGAAGAAAACATTTACTACTGGGCACTTTTTGGTGAGGCAAAAAAAGAACGAACCATTCTCTTCCACCAAGATACTGCCCATAGGTGAACTCGAATCAAAAGTCAGAATCACCACCTCATTCAGATGGATCATGAACTGTTAGCAAGACCATCCCTCAGTAATTCTTCAAAAGTATTTGGCTCTGGTCAGCCTGATACTGATAAAAAAAAGAAAGAAAGGAAAAAAGAAAGAACATTTTTAATAAAAAAAAAAAAAGAAGAAAGAAAGAAAAAAAAAATCAAAGTGAGATAAAATCCAAAGTGAATGGACCCTTCCCAGTACACACACACTCACACGTGCTACCTCTTCCCTACCCTTCCGACACACACATGTAAGGAGTGACTGGAAAGGTCCTGGTGGTGGTGACAACCGTATTTGGAGGCCTGGTGACCGGGCAGCAACAAGCACTAGTACAAGGTGTAGAGGACACGACACAACCTCATGGGGCTAGAGAACATGAGGAGAGAACCAGTGACTGGACAGGTACAGTACCATAACAGAACTCCTTGGGTCAGTGCTATGAGGGATCAGATGCGGATCCCAGCCAGGCAACCTCACTGAGGCCGAAACAACAGTTCCTCAGAACCAGCGTCTGCAGTGTACACAAAGGTCGGAGCCAGGACAGTCCTGAGGGGGATGGCCTTCCCAAAGGATACTGTACTTGCCAATCACAAGAGCAACAGAAATGACAGACAGATCCCTAGGGTACGGATTCCTACTGCTGGGGTTCGCTGGCTCGAAATGATAGGTCACTTTAAGTGCCCTTAGGAGGGGTCCATTTTAAGCAGCTTGGATCCATGGTTTTATTGGAGTTGGACCTTTTGGCCTCTTTGGCTATCCATTCATCAATCAGGTCCTGGGGAGAATAATAAGAATAATTATACACAGTCAACTAAAATGCCCTTTGCTTTTTATTATTTTTAGGTTTTTGCCATAGGGCGCATACACTCATTGGACAGAGACAGTGAAAGAGAAAATAAGAAGTACCCCAGAGGGGCCTACAGATGGCGTGGCGGTTAAGGCACTGGACTTCCACATGGCCAACTACAGTTCAAGTCCCAGACCTGGTGGTCTGCTCTCTCACTTCTCCTTTCCCTCTCTCTCTGGTCAAACTAAAAAGATAATAGCAAATTAAATAAACAAATAATTGGTAAAAAGAAAGAAAGAAAAACTAATCACCCCAGGGGAGATGGCCATGTTGCAATTCTTTTTCCTCCATTCTCCTCTCAGGATTTTGGACATACATGCATGCACCTGGTTTGATTTCCAAGCCGCCAGGTCTAGGACTTAAACGGTGGTCAGCCATGCGGGAGTCCCGTGCCTTAAGCACTATACCAGCTGCTGGCTCCTAAAATGCCTCTTTATATATAGATTCCAAAATGACTATTAGTCACCAAAAACTTAATATATTTACATAGTTAAAAAAGAAAAGCATAAAATACTCTTGATTTACACATTGTTTTTCAACCCATTCCATTTATTCCTACTTTGTCGTCAGTGAGAACTGACAATCATTAGTGATCGACCATTATTAAACATGTAAGTCGGCTAGAAAAATGAGAAGTGAGCATCAGAAGCTCTGGCGTTTGGGAAGACTCGCCTCTACAGACAGGCAATTTTCTCCAGTCTAAGAAAATTGTCACCAACAGTGCCATACCACACAAATCAGCTTACTGGAGTGGCTGCTAGACCTATGTCATCCAAATCTGAGACAGGAGATGAGCTCCCTCAGAGGCAGCACCGGCAGCACCGCCAACCACAGAAACGCGATCCAATAAAAGGCACATGTAGCCAAAACCCTTCAGGAGGGAAGGTTACTTCTTCTTGGCGTGTTAGGGAGCCGCTTTGCTTTGTCTGCTAGGCCATAGAAGCATCCAGCAATGAGTAAGTAGTTGATAAAAACAAACAAACAAAAAAAAAAACTATACCTTTTTTGGGGGGAGGGCCACCAAGTGGTGTGGTGGTTAAGGCATAAGACTACCACGTGGCCGAACACTGAGCCCCCAATCTGGCAGTTTGCTTTCTCACTTTCTCTTTGTCTCTCTGATGAGTGTATGTGCCCAATAGCAAATTAAAAAAGAATGATAATAATACAAGACTAATCATTCTTTAAAAAAAACAAAAACAAATCTTACCTGTCTTTTTAAAACTAGGTGCTTTCCTTTCCAATACTTGAGCATCTGAAGGGCTTGCAGAGTGCTGACGATGTCCACAGGATTCACAGCAGTCTCCTGGCTAATTTCTGTAACAGAAGAGCTACTAAGGACCCAGCCGAAATGCAGAACAGTGAGAATCTCTCATACTCAACCCACCCTGTTTGCAAAGTTTACTAAGCACGCATCTGGCCAGCCCAAATAACTACCGAAGAGGAATGGTACAGCAAGAATATATTTTGGCGCCTTACAAATCAAGGTCAAAGACAGACCAAACACAATTCTTCTACCCTGCACAAATATGCAAAGATGTCTTTCTTAGAAGCTCCTGGATATGCCAAAAGACTTGAAGAAAAACTTTTTTTTTTTTGGGGGGGGGAGAGGTTTTTGCTATAGGGTGCGTGCGCTCGCCAGACAGACAGAGACATAGAGACAGAAAGCGAGAAATCACCCCCCAGGGGGGATGGTCACGCCGCAATCCCTTCTCCTCCATTCTCCTCTTGGGATCTTGGGCACGCACGCACACGTGCCCGGCGTGAGTTTTAAGCCACCGGGTCCGGGACACGAACCGCGGTCGACTTCGTGGGAGTCCAGCGACATAGCCATTACACTAACTGCTGGTTCCCAAGAAAAACTTTTTTTCTTTTTGACTTATGTAAAAATTAAATTGTTAGCAACTCCAGATTTGAGAAACCAATTTGTAACTAGTCTCAACAACCAAGGCTCTGGAATCCTAGGCACTTTAAGCAAGGGTCTTTGCAGCAGTCCGCCTTCAGTAAGCCTTCTGTGCATGTCTTCAGATGGAATACCAAAGACAGTATGACCGCTGCAGGTTACAAAGCATGAACAGGGGCCAAACAGCAAAGTCCAATATCTAATGGAGTAAACATCTTGGGTAACAGTGAACCACCTCAAAGAATCCAAAACCAACCTTTGATAGAAATCTCTTTGCCTTGAAAGTTATGCAGGTAGCGAAGAAGAACTTCTTTCCAGTAACTGCGATAGCTTATGAGTCCCAGGTCTGAGAGTGGACGTTCTGGGGAACCAACTTTTTCTTCCACTTTGGAAAGCAAATAACCTGCCCAGGAACAAATAGATGCTCTTTCTAGCAACACCGTATCTCATCCTAATGTCAAAGAACAATGTGCAACAGGTAATGTTAAGAAATACAGTCTAAGGCCAGTAGGTGGCACGGAGGTTAAGGAACTGGATTCCACATGCCAGCTCTGTGGTTCAAGTCCCAGACCTAGTAGCCTGAGAATCACGTGAGGCACGTGTGCATGTGTGCCCAACATCCCGAGAGGAGACTGGTGATAAGGACTGCGTCATGGCCATCACTCTTGGGGGATGATTTCTCATTTCCTTTCCTTCTTTCTGGCAAGTGCAAGCACCCAATAGCAAAAGACTCAAAAAACAGGAGTATGGCCTACTTTGCACTATCAGTTAGGGTTCAGCTATCCCATGGGATAACCATGTGATTAAGAATAATATGCTGCTTCTGTATAAACAAAACGGTAAAAACGCACTTGCCTTTACTCTGTCACTGGTCAAATAAAAAAAAAAAACAGTAACAAATGGAATTATTAAATAATAATTCATTAAGAAAAAAAAGGTAAGTACTAAAGCTGGGTAATAAGTACAAAGGAGTTTATTAAACTCTTTGGTATGTTTGAAAGTTTCCGTAAAATTAAATTTATAAAAATACGTGACCCATTCAAAGATTTTACAAACAGAGACAGAGGTATAGGCACACAGTCTTCCCCCTACATCCTTAATAGATTATGCCACTTCCTGATTCCTCTCTTACAGGGTGACTTTGAAATGAAAAGGCTTAATTAGTAAGCTAATCAAGAATTCTAATTTTGGGGACCAGCGGACGGCATTATGGTTATTTCACTAGACTCCCACATAATCGACCATAGTTCGAGTCCTGAACCTAGCGGTTTAAACTCATGCCGGGCACGTATGTGAGCATACTCAGACCCCTGAGGGGAGAATGGAGAAAGGATTGCAGCATGGCCATCCCCCCAGGGAGTGATTTCTTGCTTTCTGTCTGTCTCTCCCTGTCCCTCCGGTGAGCACACAAGCCCTATAGCAAAAATCTCTCTCTTAAAAAAAAATTCTAAGTTTTGGGGCCCAGCAGATGGCATGATGGTTAAGGCACTGGACTTACACATGGCCAACCACAGTCAGAGTCCTGGACCCAGCGACTTGAAAATCATTCCGGGCACATGTGTATGCACATGTGTCCAAAACCCTAAGAGGACAACACAGGAGAGGGGAATGCAGTGTAGCCACCCTTCCTGGGCCTGATTTTCTCACTCCCCCGCACCCCAAACGGGCTGGCTCTTTCTTATGAATACAACCACTCTATGGCAAAAACCTTAAAAATTTTTTTTTCTAGGCTGTCATTTGACAACAAATACATAAAACATTCTTGTTGCTCACAAGAGAGCTCCAGGGTTAGGCTCTTGCAAGCCTCTGGTCACATATTCATCCAGTAATCAATACATAATCTTATTTTATGTGTAACTGTTTAAAACAACTTATTAATTAGTATACATTGTTGATTCATTAACACTGAACTTTGGCCAAGGACATTAAAACTCATGCCTAAAGAAAGCCTATCTAGTTACTATACGGCAGTCTTCCCACGCTTACGCATGGTTGGGACCATTTAAATCAACAACAGAAGGCACAAAAATGTGGAAATGGGGCACTAACATACCATGGAAATGACACTTGTTTACAATGTAAGAGCTGAACAAGGCCACCTTGTTTGACCTGGGCTAGGTGACTTGTTTTTTGCTGCCCTGTGCACGTCCACAAATGACCACAAAAATGCCGAGGTTGAGGCGCAGGTTACTAAGACATTTTATTATAGTTGAGAGAAGGCAAATTTGCACACACAGTATCCACAATTAATAAGGACACAGTGTCTTACCCAAAGCCTCTACTGGGCATATGGATTACCTCTACAAAAGTCCTTACAAAAGTGAAATCCCTAACACCAAGAAATAGATTTTAAGCCTTAAGCGTGTATGTGCTCTGTTTTACAAATCTCAAACTGGGATAATCCTAAGGAGCTTACTTCATCATCCCCTGTATCTCCTACTAATTTAGGTACCAGAGTCCTACCTTCATGGAGTGTTCAAGGAGTACCAAGCAGACTGACTGTATTCAGGTTTTCCCCACTTACTCATTCATTTACTAATAATCAGTATATTTCCATGACATGCCAAGAACTGTAGAGACCAAAGGACAAAAAGACAACAACATTCACATGGCCCCTGCCTTACGGAGTTCACGACTTAGCAATTCACTTACTGAAGTCGATGAGCATCTTGCCATAGCCCTGCCTCATGTACTGAGGCATGGTAAGGATACAGGACACGTTATAGTTGAGGAATGAATTCTTTTCCTAAAATCAACAACAAATAGATGAGCAAGTCATGACAGTTTGGAACCAAAGATTTCGCACTCTCCCAGATACAGAGTAAGGCTGCTTGTAAAACATCTGGTTAACCAGTACTGGGGAGTGGCGGCCAGTATCACAGCTGTTACACCCCACCCTTTATAACAGCCAAAGCTATTAATCCCCGGGTTTCCCTAGCTCTGAGACCTCCAGTTTCATTTTCAGGTGGGCCAACTACAGGCTTTTTAATAGCCAAAAAAGGCAGGACAAAGTTAAAACTAAGAGTAAGTTGAGAAGAGCCCTCTTTAAAAGCAGTTATTCAAAAAGAGGGCCTACAGAAAGAGAAGAAAAGGAAACAAAACATAAAGTCCTAGTTCTGGAAGGGGATCAAAAAAACAATCGAACAGGTTCTAGCAAATGGTGTGGTGGTTAAGGTGCTAGACTCCCACATGGCCAACTGTAGTTCAAGTCAGGACTGGGTGGCTTGCTTTCTCACTCTCTCTCTCTGGGGAGTGCATGTGTCCCATAGCAAATTAAAATAATAATAATAAAAAAATTAAAAAAAATTTTTTTTTGGAGAGGTTTTTCGCTATAGGGTACGTGCACTCGCCAGACAGAGAGAGACATAGAGACAGAAAGCGAGAAATCACCCCCCGGGGGGGATGGTCATGCCGCAATCCCTTCTCCATTCTCCTCTCGGGATCTTGAGCACGCATGCACACGCACCCAGCGTAAGCCACCAGGTCCGGGACGCGAACTGCGGTCGACTATGTGGGAGTCCAGCGACATAGCCATCACGTTAACTGCTGGTCCCAACAAGGTTTCTTTCAGGGGAATGAAAACTGTGATTACAGTGGTTGCACAACTCTACGTATATGCTGAAAACCACTGAGCTGTACACTAAGGTATGTGAATTATATTTAAATAAAGTTGGTCAACGAAAAAGAGGTAAAAACCTCATCTTAGATGTTTTTCCCTTCTCTTTTTAAAGAATTATTTATTTAATTCCATTTGTTATTTTTTAAAATTTGACCAGTGAGAGAGAGAAAGTGAAAGCGAGAAAGCAAGCCACCAGGTCCGAGACTCGAAACCATGGTCGAACATGTGCAAATCCAATGTTTTTAAGCACCACGCCATCTGCCGGCCCTCATCTTGGTTTTATTTTTAAAGATGCAGTGGCATGTCACTGAAGGGACTGTGCTTGGAGCCCAGCTAAGGAATTTATTCCTGGTTGGAAGCTAGTAATAGAGGATGGCAAAGCCTGGAAAGTTGGCCTGACTACAAGATGTGGGCTTGTGGGTTAGTAGGGAGGGCCCCGGACAGTAATTAATAGACAGCTCCAGTCCACAAGCCCAGAAACGAATAAACCAGAAACTTTTAATAAAGAGTTGTACATTTTCATTAAACCATCTTTGATGCATGGGTCTGCCTCCTCCTTTTTCTTTCTTTTCTTATTTTTTTTAAAGGAAAAGGCTCTCGCTGATGCCCAGGGTACCACCTCTTCCTGCCGATGACCTGAAGCCCATATGCCAACATCAGTCACCCAGCTCTGGCCAATAGCTTCTTAATCTCCAGATCCTGCTGACCTTGGAAAAATAGCCAATCAAGTGACAGCCAGTGTTGTCCGCTTCTGTCATAACATAAAACAGGAAGGGTTCCACGTCATAATACAACGTCTTGTGGTCCAAAAAAAGCTTGGCCAGCAGGCACAGGTTTTGGCAGTAGATCTGGAAACAGAGAAAGCGAGTTCCTGTGTGGGCCAGTGATTTATTTAAAACGTGTCAGACAAAGGTCTAAAAGCATATCATTATGGTTAATGAAACAAATTGTGTGTGCTTTTTGGCAATAGGAGAATTCTAACTCCTTTACAAAGTATGATAGAGACAAAACATGCTCCCTTCAGAATTATGTATATTCCCATCCCTTCTAAGTCACCAATTCTTACCTTGTTTTTCTTGCCATCCACTTCAAACACAGAGATTGAGCCTTTGCGATATATCTCATCACCAGGTGGGTGTTTCCACACACACTTGGCCTGTGAGAGAATGGAATTCACATCAGAGAATCAAAGGCCCCCAATAAGACTGCTACTCCAAAGGAAAAAGGAATCACAGATCAAGTTTGGTTAATGAGCCAAGGGACAGTGGGACACACAAGAACATACACTAAAAGAGATTTTGTTTCTTAAACTAAAATAAAGCCTTCTAAAGTCACTACAATATACTTCCAGCATTTTTACAGCAGTCTGGAACAGTCTCCTGATTACATTCTGGCACTGTTTTATTAGCCTAGGAGATTTAAATCAAACCCGATGTAAAAGCCAGATCAATAAGAATACCCCTGTTTGTTATAAAATGTCTCAGGCCAACAGGAAATTCTTAAGCAGCTTATTTCCAGCAGCTTAGAATTGCTAAGTACCTCTTTCTCACCTTTATGGACATTTACCGCCTAGCCTAACCATTAAGGTCTGCCCCAGCAACCCACAATGATAAAAACCAGGCACCACTCTCGACCTGTTCCTCCCCCTCCACCTCCTGCAAATGGGTTCACTTTGTTACATAAAAGATGCTTCTGTAACCCCTCGGAAACAGACAAGGCAACCTGGCTGAATAGCAGGAAGATGAGGGGCACTTAGCCACAAAAAGAATAGGTATCCCCTTTCTTTCCTTCACCCTCAATTTCTTTTTTTTTTTTGAATTATTTAATTTTATTTATTCGTTCATTTATTTTTAAAATTTGATCAGAGAGAGACACAGAGAGAGAGAGAAGTGACAAAGAGCCACGTGGTCAGTCACATGGGAGTGCCCAGCCTGCCCAGTGCCTTAACCACAAGGCCACCTGCTGGTCCCCTCTTTTTTTTTTAAAGAAATTTTTTGTGGAGGCTTTTGCCTTAGGGTGTGTTCACTCACCAGAGAGATACAGAGACAGCAAGAGGGCAAGTGAAAAATTACTCACTAGGGTTATTTATTTAATTTTGTTTATTATTATTTAATTTGACCAGAAAGAGAAAGGGAGAAAGCAAGTCACTAGATCCACGATTCAAGCTGTGGTCGACCATGTGGGAGTACAGTGTCTTAACCATCATGTCACCTACTGGCCCCACCACCCTCAAGTTCTAAGTTTCTTTCTTTTTTTCCGTTTTTTTTTTTTTTAAGTTTTTGGAGTGGGAGATAAAAAGTGAGAAATTAACCCATAGTGGGAAGGTTACCACAATCCCTTCTCCATTCTACACTCCCCCTTCCTCCATTCCCCTCTTGGAGATTTTGGGCATGTAAACATGCATGGCATGTTTTTTAACCCACCAGATCTGGGACTTGAACCATGAGGTCAGCCATGTGGGATATTCAGCAGCTTTAATCTCCAGGCCACCTTGACAGTTTTAATGCAGCCAGGCAATCATTGCATTGAATAGGTGAACTCTCAAAAGTTTTACATAATAGATATATATTCTTATATAATAAATATATAATATTGTTTAAAATGTATATTTATGGAACACTTTTTATTAAGCAGTTTATGAGTCTTTTTTTTTTTTTGAGAGGGTTTTGCTATAGGGCGCGTAGGCTCACCAGAAAGACACAGAGAGAGAGAAAGCAAGAAATCTCCCCCCAGAGGGGATAGCCATGCCACAATCCCTTGGCAGGCACGCATGCACAAGCGCCTTGCATGAGTTTAAACCACCGGGTCCGGGACTCAAACCATGGTCAACTACATGGGAGTCCAGCGACATAGCCATTACGCCAACTGCTGGTCCCTGACTGTGCATCTTTTTATATAAAAAAAATTATTTCCTTTATTTGTCATTATTGCTATTTTAATTTGACCATAGCAAGACTCAGAGAGGCTCCTGACAGACTAATCTCTACTCCTTCCCCTATCCCCATCCCTGTTCCACGGCAGGTGACCTCTTAAAGAAGCTTTTTATTCCACAACCAGGGAAAGAAAAAGGCATAAAGCTGCAAAACACCCGGTAAACACGTTTATCAACAATAAATAATAGCAAAGTCTTTATCCCACTTTGTTTTTAAAGAAGTTTTTTTTAAAAAAAAATCTTTATTTACTTTAATTTGACCAGAGAGAGAGGGAGAAAGCAAGCCACCAGGTCCAGGACTCAAACAGTGGTTGGCCATGTAGGAGTCCAGTGCCCTTAACCATCATGCAACCTGCTGGGCCCTATCCCCTATTTTTATAGGAAGACTGTTCAGGAACCAGAAAGCACTCAACAACTTTGAGGGTAAGGCACCAAAGGACCCATTTTGTTAATTTCATAATTGTCAGAGGCAGATCTCCTCTAAACTGCAAGGGGTCTTCAAAAGTTCGTGGAAAATGCATATCATGAAAAAAACTTATGCATGAATTTAAACTTTTTTCTTTTTTAAGAAAAAACCTGTCAGGGTGCCAGTAGTTGGGGTGGTGGTTAAGGCGGCTGGAATCCCATAGGCCAACTGCAGTGAGAGTCCCAGACCTGCTGTCTTGAAATTCATGCAGGCTGCCTATGCACCAGGAGACTGCAGGAGACGGAACTGTGGTGTGACCACTCCCCCAGGGTGTGATTTTTCACTTTCCCTCTCACCATCTCCACTGGGCGAGTGCAGATGCCCTGTAACAAAGCTCGTAAAAAAAAAAAAAAAAAGTTGCCAGTGGGCTATGTGCTGGCTAGAAAGGAACAGGGAGACACAGAAAGAAAGCACCCTAGGAGGATGGCCACACAGCAATCTCTTCTCCAATCTCCTCTCAGAATTTTGGGCATACACACACCCAGTGTTTTTCAAATCACAGGGCCTGGGAGGCAAACAGCAGTTGGCCATCACCTCAATGAGCACACCATTAGCTGGCCCTAAGAAAAATTTATGTACCAAAATAAACTCGTATTTTAACCCTATTTTTCTGAATAAACTCGTATGTTAACCCTATTTTGCTGCAAGCTTTTTAAAGTCCCCTTGTACATTCACTACTAACCATGGTAGTTGCTACTTGGGCACAAGAGTGTCTTATGAAGGACAGTCAAGCTGTCCTTGCCTGGTCTAACAAGGTCTATGTTTTCTTCTTTATAAAAATTTTGAAGAATTATTTTATTTATTTATTCATTCATTTTGTTTTGACCATAGAGAGATACAGAGAGAGAAAGAAGAGGAAAGTGAGAAGCAAGCCACCAGGTCCAGGACTCAAACCACGGTCGGCCATGTGGGAGTGTCCAG